TTCCTTCCTTCCTTCCTTCCTTCCTTCCTTCCTTCCTTCCTTCCTTCCTTCCTTCCTTCCTTCCTTTCTCCCAGCTAGCATGAGTCTAGCGAAAGTCCTGAAGTGCTTAGCGCTAGCTCAAAACAAAATCCAGCTTGAAGTTGAAGTTCTCGGACGTAATTCTTCCTTGCATGCGTTTTTATTCACAGGGAATGTTTGGCAAAATGCTCAGGGAACTGTGATGGGAGCAACTGTCAGCTAAATCTGAGATGATTAGACACACACACACACCAGTAACAGGAAGGACTGGAAAAAGGTTGCAGTTGAGAATGTGAATTGTGCGGGCAGGAGATTTCACGTTGGGTAAAAACAGGAGATTTTGTAGGCCAGAACAGGGACCAGTAGAAGCCAGCTTGATTTAAGAGCACCGAGCTTCCTGTGATCCTGTTTGCCTGTTGCACTGCTGTGCCTTGTGCATAACAACTATGCTCTCTTCTTTTTCCGATCCCTGCATTTGCACACTGCAGGGTGTGCTGTTAAGTGTTTGGCTTGTTCCTGGCTTAACATGCAAAGTCAGCCATTATGGTTTGTGAACTCTGATTTGTAGCTTAACCGTGATGGGGGAGGTGAGCCACTAGAGTTTATGGCACCCCACCTTTGGCTTAGGGCAGTGTTTCTCAATGTTGGCACCTTTAAGATGTGTGGCTGGCTGGGGAATTCTGGGAGACGAAGTCCACACATCTTAAAGTTGCTAAGGTTGAGAAACACTGGTCTAATAGATTGAGATGCATGTTAAATTTGAAGTGGTGTTGGCTCTCCTCCAGCAAATCAAACCCCAGATTTGCTAGAGAGATTGAAGGACCATTAAAATAAAGTAGATAGGGTGGGTGTGACCTGAGGGGATAGCCCGGAGGACCTCAAATATTCTTGTGACCCATCACTATGCCAAAACGAACCACCCGTGTCAAATAAAATCAAGCAACTCCTTTTTCCTTTGTACGGGATAGAGGTGAGGAATATGCTACACTGGGGAATTTGCAGTTCTGGCCCATCCTTGTGCAAGGCCTCCAGGAGCGTTGGCTTTGGGCTGTCCATAATGGCCAGTTTTAGCAGGAGCCTTGATTAGTCCTATCAGAAACCTAGATAGAACTGCCAAATGATTGGAGGTAACTCAGTATGTGATTGATTGATTGATTGATTGATTATACGTCATCAAGTCAGTGTTGACTGTTACCAACCATTTAGATAGATTTTCTGCAGGACAATCTGTCCCTAACCTCTTCTTTTAGCTCTTCCAATAGTGCCTCCATCGCCATGTAACCGAGTCCATCCACTGTGGTACTGGTCATCCTCTTCTCTTTCCTTCCACCTTTCCCAGCTTTAGAGCCTTTTCCAGAGAACTAGATCTCCTCAGGTGTCCAAAGTAGGATAATTTGAGCCTGGTCCTTTGTGCCTTGAATGAGAAATTGAATACATCGGGGTACGGTACTTTTATTCCTTGTGAATTGCTTACTCTGTTATCATAAGCTGTAGGCCTCCTGCAGATTCACTTGCAAACATAGACCTGGAGCAGCGTTCCCCATCCTGGTGCTCCCCAGATGTGCAGGACATACAAGAAGTTTTCAGTCCCAGCACAGCTGGAAGTCATGAGGTATGAAAAGTCCTCGAGATGCAACACGAACCATTTCGGTATGGTTTTGTTTGACAGTCTGCTTCCGTTTGCAATGTATTTGAGAAACATGATTTGATTTGAGGGCCACAAGATTGGAGAAGTTGCCTGAGATTTGTGTCTGGATTCAAGTGAGAATCGTTCATCTTGTTAGCCTCAAAACTATTGTCTGCATTTTAGAGGCATAGCATCTTCAGGGGAGGACTTCACTAGGCCCTAATAAGCGTTTTCAGGCAATTTAATATTGTTTCTTACATTAGTGTTTTGATCTGTGCGTTAGTGTATGTTATGGGGGATGGAGATGAAGATTCTTTTGCTTACATGAAAACTTGTTCTGTGTTGTGGCTATGGAAAATTGAAGGGGTGTTTGCTGGCTGGATCTGATCTGAATTTGGGGGCATGGCAGCATTTCATAAACGGGGTAGAACAAAAGCGCAACCCTGTTACACGCAAAAAAGAGTTGCTCTTGAAATATTTGGCGGGGGGGAAGAAATATCTCTTCTGCTCCTATATTGGATGAGGGATCATTCTGGGAATATATTTAGGAATATCTCTTGCAAAATCCCAAACAGCCATTTCTGCTGAGCACGTAGCTATTGGGAAAATTATTCCATCCCCTCTAACCCAGAGACAGGATTGAATTACTTCCTTCTCTGGCTGGGTGCTCTGATGGGTGTTAAAGTTTAGCACACCAGATCAGGTTGGAGAACAACCTTTAGTTTTTTCCCTTGCGCTGCGGTTACAGTTTTCCTTGACACAATTTCAGGAGTGTTTTGATTCGTTTTCCAGCAAGGGGTGCTTCTCGTAGTTGAGGGGACTGCAGTTCCCATCATTCCCAGACAAGGGCAAACTTTGACAGGCACCAAATTGGGGAAGGCTGCTCTGGGTCTAACTCAGTGTTTCTCAACTTTGGCAACTTCAGGTTGTGTGGAGTTCAACTCCCAGAATTCCCCAGCCAGCCTGGGGAATTCTGGGAGTTGAAGTCCACACATCT